TTGTACCGGCTTCCTTCCCGTGAGAATTTCTTTCCAGTCTGGGCTGCACCTAAGTTTTGCTTATGAAGCCTAGGGAGGGCAATTACTGTCAGCGGCATTTCTAAACCAGTTGAGCATCTGTGTCTAGGATGAATTAGGTGTCCTGGATGGATGGAGTGAAATGCTCTTTAGTGACAAGTGGAGGATTAACTAGATGATCTATGCTAACACTTTGAGCCCAGAAATTCTATGGCATCATGGATTTCCGCTTGGAGAGCTGAGTGCATTGAGCTCTTTCCAGCTCTAGCATTTTGGATCCCATTATTCCATAGATATGTCTGTACATTCTAGATTTCCTGAGACTAAAGTAAAATAAATGAGTTCATGAATGGATGAATAAGATGCATAGCTTTATTAAAAATTTCTTATTGTGGCAAAATATGCATAAGATTTAATAATTCACAATTAAATTTTTTAAAGTGCACAGTTTAGTAGCATTAAGCATATTCATAATGTGTAACCATGACTAGTTCTTATTTCTAGAACTTTTTCATCATCCCTGTAACTTGATTTTTAAAATACCTCTACTACCTATTCAAAGGCTATTTTTTCTTATTTCTAGATTCTAAGTGGTTGATGTGGACAAATAGCTGACCTTGAGATAAGTGCCTTATGACCCAAATCCTCCATGGATGAAATCTTCCAGAAACATGTTCACCAGAGTGGTAATACTAAGACAGATTTCTCAATGTAAGGGTTGTGTGAGTGATTTTAAATCCTCTGAGAGCAGTGAACATCTAAAAGCATTAACAGCTACAATTAGTGAATCACTCAGAACATTTTCAGGTTTGGGGGTGAGCTTTGCTCTGTGGGCTCAGTGTCTATTGTCATCTCCTCCTACTAATAGATTCCACTCCCCAGGTTCAGAGATGATTGTGTGATCCAGGATCCCTATCCAGGCATAGGGCCTCTTTCCTAGGCCATAGTAATGGTCCAAGGGATGAACGTAGGATCCAAATCATGTTCAGAATTTTCATTTTGGTTTTTCTCAAATTTCGGTTGAGAGAAGAGGGCCTTCATTTTCGTCTCTGATTTTGGAACATTTGGAGTATACATCTGGAATAACTGGCAGCCATGTTAGGTAAGCTAGTTTGGGAGAATAAATCTAATATTTAGAGAGATGCAGAGATAAGAGATGAAGAGAATTCTTAGAACATTTGGTCCTTGGTTTAGTTATCCCTAAGGCCATATGCATTGCTTTCTGCTGTTGATTCCATTCATCCTCCTCTTTTGCTTGAATCGTTTTCAGGTATGTTTATGTCCCTGGTAACCAACAGTCTTGACCAATACAGTGTGATTTATAATGGTAGCTAAACTACAGATGTTTACCAGTAATATAGATGCCAGCCAGTGTGGCTACCCTGTGACTCTATGGGGTAAACATGTGGAGATAGGAAGATAGTGTTTCCTGTATCCATTCATCCACAAGTCCAACCATCTGTCCATCCATACTCCAGCCCCCCTGGATATTACATACACATGAATATAAAGCAACACTTTCAATTGCTAGAATTTTTCTGCCTCGCCAAATCCTACTCACTATTCAAAATGGTTAGCATACAATCGCAGGGATCATAGCACTCTGTCCATTTCAAGCAAAATGAGACTTAACGTAAGGAATGAGGTTGGGCTTCTTCCCAGGTGCCGCTAATGGTAAAGAATCTTCCTGCCCATGAGACTCAGGTTTGATCCCTAGGTGGGGAAGATCCCCTGAAGGAGGAAAACAGCAACCCACTCCAATATTCTTGCCTAAAAATTTCCATGGACAAAAGGAGCCTGGCAGGCTACAGTCCATGGGGTTGCAAAGAGTAGGACACGACGGAGCGACTGAGCACATTTAGCTAATTACACAATTGTTGCATGTCCTGGAGGAGCAAACTCTAGGTTGGGCCTCTGGGAATGACTCTTAGACCAATACAGTGGAATTGCTCTGCCAAGGGAGCTTCTATTTCTGCCATGATCAGGAGGGAGAGGAACTGGGAGGCCATCCTGGAACTACTGACTTCAAAACAGAAATCAAGAAGCCACTTCAGATGTTTTTAATTGCCCATAAAGTCGGTGATTAGGAAACTTTCATCTGCTGCAGAAAATCCCCAGATCTCCACAGTTGTATTAATACTTAGCGGGGGTGGTACTGTTTCAAGGAAATGGACCTCACCTGCTTCCACCTTCCATACTTGGGTGTATCTAAGTGCATACAGTGTTAATTGGGTGAGAGAAACAGTGTTCGGGGACTTCGCTGGTTGGCCAGTGGCTCAGACTCCATGTTCCCAAAGCAGGGGGCCTGGGTTAGGGAACTAGATCCCTCATGCCACAACCAACCAAGACCTGGTGCAGTCAAATGAAGAAATATTTTTAGAAAAGAAACAGTTTAGAACAGAGGTGGGGATAAGCTTGTTCTCTGTGCTGGTTAAACCTCATATTTGCATTTAGTTTTGGGTACTTCCCTACTTTAAAAGGGAAAAATTATAAGTAATGTATTTGGAGAACGGTGGGGACATGATGAAGAAGAAACCAAAAAACCAAAAAAAACAAAACCATATTACATAACGAATAACTGAAGGATCTGGGGATATGTAACTGGGAGAGAGAAAACTCAAGAAGTTTCTGCCAGGTTCTGCTAGAAATCTGAAAGGCTAGTTCTTTATGATCCTTAGGGTAGGATGAAAGCAATAGGAGTTAGATTTGAACGGCCTTAGGAAGAAGCTTCTCATAATCAAGGCTATGGAATGATTGGACTACTTGAGTCCTCCATCTCTTGAAGGACTCAACCATTGTTTACAGACCAGGTGATAGGGATGTTGTGGAAAATACTGTATTTTTACTCTCCCACCCCGTTTTGTATTTTTGATGTTATATTTTATATATCCATGTTTACCCATAACTTTTTATAGTAGCTATAATTAACTTTATACAATTTTTGTCTTTTAATTTTTGTATTAGCTTGTTTGGGACTTCCCAGGTGGCGCTAGTGGTTAAGAATCCACCTGCCAATACAGAAAATGCAAGAGATACGGGTTTGATCCCTGGGTTGGGAAGATCCCCTGGAGAAGGACATGACAACCAACTCCAGTATTCTTGCCTGGAGAATCCCGTGGAGAGAGGAGCCTGGCGAGCTACAGTCCAAAGGGTCACAAAGAGTCCGACACAACTGAATCGACTTAGCATGCATACACGTACTAGCTTATTTAAGTGATTGATCTACAGCCTTTACTATATATTTGCCTTTACTAATGGGATTTTTCCTTGGCTGTAAATTCCTGCTTCCCATAGTAGCCTTTCCTTTTCCACTTAGAAAAGACCCTTTCACACTTCTTTTTCAGTTTAGTATTGATGAACTCTTAGTTTTTGCTTGCCTGTAAAGCTCTTTCTCTCTCCTTAAATTCTGAATGATAAATTTGCTGGGTAGAGTATCCTAGGTTGTAGGTTTTTCCCTTTCAGCACTTTAAATATATCATGCCACTCCCTTCTGTCTTGCAAAGTTTCTGTAGAAAAATTAGCTGATAGCATTATTATTATGGGGGTTCCCTTGTATGTGATTGTTTTTCTGTTGCTATCTTTAGAGTTCTCCCTTTAACTTTTGCCATTTTAATTATGGTGTGTCTTGGTGTGTTTCTGTTTGGGTTCATTGTCTTTGGGATTCTCCGTGGTTTCTATACCTGGATATCTATTTGCTTCTTCAGGTTTAAGAAGTTTTCAGACATAATTTCATCAAATATATTTTTGACTCCTTTGTCTCACTTGTCTCCTTCTAGGACCCCTATAAGTACTATTGATATTGCAGAGGTTCCTTAAACTCTCCTCATTTTTTAAAATTTGCTTTTCTTTTTGCTATTCTGATTGGGTGATTTCCATTATTCTGTCTTCCAGGTCATGTATGCATTCTTCTGTATCAGCTAGTCTGCTGTTAATTACTTCTAGTGTGTTTTTCAGTTAGTTATTATATTCTTCAGCTCTCTGGTTCCTTTTTAATATTTTCTAGCTCCTTGTTAAAATTCTCCATGTTCACCAATTCTTTTGCCAAGTTCAACTAGCATTCTTTTTATTTTTTTTATGAGGCATAATTGACAAACAACATTATATGTTTCAGGTGTACAACATAGTGATTTAAAAAATTTAAAGGTTATATTCCATTTATAGTTGTTATAAAATATCAGCTATATTTTCTGTATTGTACAATACATCTTTGTAGTTTATTTTATATAGAGTAGTTTGTACCACTTAATTCCCTATGCCTATCTCACCGCTCCCACCTTCTTCCTTCCTACTGGTTTGTTCTCTGTGAGTCTGTTTCTTTAACATTCTTATTACTAATGCTTTGAACTCTTTGTCTGATAAACTCTTTATCTCTCTTTCACTAGATGTTTTTTCCATGTTCTTTCATTTAAATTCCCGTGTCTTCTCATTTTGTTTAAAAATATTATATTTTTATATACTAAAGATTTGACTATGTATTCCTTATGAAGTTGTTAATTTTGCCAAAGCTCTTCACTTTCCTCAATCTTCCTGGATAACTGTGCCCATATTAATGATGGCTTTAGAAAAAATTTATTAGTCTGAATGCAACATTACTCTCGGGATCCAAAACAGATCTTATGAAAGGGTGGTGGCTCTGTGGAACTCAGGAGAGGGGCAGACATGGCTGAAATAACCACTCCAGGGGTTAAATAAAAATAAGAAATAATAGTAGTACCCCCTCCAAAAAAAGATTTTAGAAATGTATCTTACAGATTTGGGGGTGGAACTGAGATTTGAATGAGGGGTGTAAATGGAGTTTGGTATAAATAATAATAGCTACTGAGCATTGAGCATACCATGTTTATAACACATATCATGTAATGCAACATCCTTTTCAGAGCTCCTTGATTTACACATGAGGAAGATGAAGCTCAGAAAGGCTAAATAATTTGTCCAAGGCAACAGTTACTAAGGGCAGGGCCAGGGTTTGAACCCCAGAGTTCATGTGGATGCACACACACCCCACTACATTGCACTTCATGACCAAGCTGCGACACCATAAATACCCAGCTGGTAGTGGAGCCTGGCCTGTTAACAACCTGATCTACACAGCAGGCCAGGAAGGTAAGATAAGGCAAATGTCAGAATTATTTGGGTAGTGAACCATTTTTCTTTCTATAGTTGGGATAACACAGTCAAATCTATACATAGCTGAGGAATGCTATTTTTGAGACATCTGTAATAACTTATTTCACTACCACTTATTCCAGTCACAGTTTCTCATCCATAAAGTAGAAATAAAAGTAATTGCCTCAAAAGGGTCACGCGAGGATTCATTGAGATAGTGTATGTAAAAGTGCTTGCCTGGAGTGTGGTTATCAAATAAAAGGGAGTTGACTCTCAATTCCCAAATCAGGGGTTGTTTTGCCTTTACGGACATGGTCTCAGTCTTAGACCATCTAGGCAAGTAGAAGAACAGAGGAACGCAGGTGAAGAGAACAGACTTGTGGACACAGTGGAGGAAGAAGAGGGTAGGACAAATGGAGACAGTGGCATTAAAACATGTACATCACAGTGGGTAGAAAAGACAGCTAGTGGGAAGTCGCTGTGTAACGCAGGGAGCCCAGCCTGGTGCCCTGTGATGACCTAGAGGGCTGGGACAGGACAGGTGGGAAGGAGACGCAGGAGGGTATATTATGGCTGATTTGCACTGATATTGGCAGAAACCAACACAACATTGTAAAGCAATCATCCTCCAATCAAAAATTATTTTTTTTTTAATAAAAAAAGAACAATGAAAAAGAGGAAGTTTTTAAATTCTGGGGAGATCTTTTTTTTTTTTTTTTAAAAGGAATTTCATCTGTGAAAGCTTATTCAGGTCTACCTGTGGTTATATCCAAACAGGCAGGGAAAGTAGGGAGTTCAGCTTAAATTCACTGAATCCAATGTATGTTCAGGTACAGTCACCATTTCTGTAAAAGAAGAGGCAGCTGTTTATGTGACAGGATCTGAAAGGCCCCGAAAGGCCTCCTGTCCTCAAAACTTTCCTCTTTCAATCAGACATAGAATCTAAAATTCCATTTTGAGAAATCTCCTCTTGGGTAAGCCACTGATTCGCAGACTTTGTATCAGAACTGCCTGAAGAATTTATTAATATTTGAAATAGTGACCCTAGAAGACTTCCTTGGTGGTCCAGTGATTATGAATCCACCTTCCAATGCAGGGGGTGCAGGTTTGATTCCTGATTGGGGAGCTAAGATCTCACATGCCCCCCATAAAAACATAAAACAGAAGCAATATTGTAATAAATTCAATAAAGACTTCAAAAATGGCCCACACTAAAAAAATAAAAGTCTTAAAAAAAAATATTGACCCTGGGACTACTGAGTCAGGCCACTATAATTTTAACTAGATGAATCTAATGCACAACAAAGCTTGAAAATACCAGATCAAGGCATTATATCCACAGAAGTCCCTATTAAATTTCAAGTTTTCTCTTGGGAAGTTGCCATGGTTCTCAAATTATAGCTTCTACTTCCTCCTCCTACTATAACTGTTCTGGTCCGTAGCATCAGTAATCTCTTTGTCGCCAGGTCTAATGGATTATTTTTGGTCTTCATATATTATGGCATCTCTCCGTCTCTCCTCAGCATCTGATGCTGTTTCCTTTTCCTCTTCTCTTAATCTCTGAGATAGCAATCTCTCCTACTTTTCTGCCTTATGTCCTTGAGTGTTTCTCAGTTTCTTTACCTGGCTTACCCTCCTCCTTTCAACTCCAAATATGGAAGTTTTCATAAGGAAATAAGGCTTGCACCAGGCCCCCAGTTCTTTTCGGTACCCACTTTTCCTGGATTTAAATAGCTAGTGGCCAGCCATTTCCAAAAATTTACCTCCTACTCACTCTTCTCCCAGAGCTCCATGTAGTGCTGTCTCTGCTCTGTCCTGTCCAACTCTTCGCAACCCCATGGACCGTAGACCACCAGGCTCCTCTATCCATGGGATTTCTCAGGCAAGAATACTGGAGAGGGTTGCTATTACCTTCTCCAGGGAGTCTTCCCGACCCAGTGATTGAACCTGCATCTCCTGAGTCTCCTCACTGCAGGCAGATTCTTTACAGCTGAACCACTGGGGAAGCCCCTGTTTCGTGCTACCATCTATTAATACCTACTTGGATATCATGATTATCTTGAACTCAGTGGGTTGAATAGGATACTTAGACTCTCCCTTCCGCCACATCCTCTCTAATTTACACTTCTCAGGAAATGATAGCACAATCCACCCAGTATTACTCAAACTAGAACTTAGACATCATGTGGGATCCTACTTCTCGCTCAACACCCACATCCACTCCATCAGCAAATCATGTCAGTGTCCTTCCCAAATGAATCTTAAACTTTCCATCTCTCAGATTCCTTCTTAGTATCCCCTTATTACCATTTTTATATTATTCTCAAGGTACCCAGGTCATTCTTTTAAATAACTCAAAACATAAAAACATAAATTAGATCATTAATTTCTTCCCTTAAACATTCAGTGGCTTCACACTGCATTTAGAGTAAAACTGATATCTTGCTGTTTCTGTAAGGCACTTCCTAACTTCTTTCTCATCTTGGTCTACAAGGCTCTTTATTTTCTGACTCACTGCATTCCTCACCATATTCCAGTGACAGTGACTCCTTTAGGTTTCTCAAATACTCCAAAATTATTCTCCTCAGGGCCTTTGTATATATTGTTCCTTCTGCCTGGAATGTTATCTCTATGACTGGTTATTTCTCATCTCTTAAAGCTTTTAGTTTAAATCTCACCATCTGTAATCATTATCCCAAAGTAGTACTCTCCATTATTTTCCATTAATTCTTCAGAGTACTTTGAATTGTAGTTACTTATTCATTCATTTGTTGGTTTGTTTATTGTCTGTCTCCCACAATGGAAAATAAGCTCCATGAATTCAGGAGCTATGTCTACACATCCAGCTTCTAAAATAGTGTCTGGTATGTGATACCTGCTCAGCAAATATCTACATCATCATCATCATCAATAAGAAAATGTAGCAGAATATTTAGATTTTTCATGCTTTAAAAAGTTTTTCTAAGCTTGATAAGAAACCAAGAAATCATAAAAACTGACAGATTTAGCTACATTAAGCATTTAACATTTTTGTATTACAGAGGTAAAAAGGTAGAAAATCGAGAAACATCTTTTATAAATTATTCAAAGGAATTTCTTCCAATCAGTATGAAAAGATAAGTAAGCCAATGGAAAATGGGTAAAAGATACAACTTACAGAAGAAAAATAACAAATGGTCAGTAAAAATAAAATATCATAATATGCGCAACCTCATTCTTAAAAACATCAGATTTTCATTCTGTTGAATTAGCAAGAATCCAAAAACTTATAAATACCCAGGTCAGGTGTGTGTGGAAACAGTTAACTTTTATACATTAACCATCGTACAGTAACAGTTAACTTTCTTACATATGTTGTAGATTAGTGTAACAATTTTTTTGAACAATTTAGCCTTGCCTATTGAAATCTAAAATGTGCTTTACCTTTGACCCAACTCTGCTTTGGATTAGCAATTTTAGGAATTTATCCTAAAATAATACTTTCACAATGTGCAGTGTATATTCATATAAGGGTATACAGTATATTCACTTATGAATATATGAGATATATTCATGTATATGTTTAGTGTGGCATTGTTTTAATAAACAAAACTGGAAACAATCTGCTCATGCAATTAAATAATGGTACACATACAAAGAAACAGTATGCAGCTATCAAAAAGGACAGTGGGGTAGATTTGTAGATTCTGTTTCAGAAAGATATCCTTTGATACATTGCTAAATTGAACAGATTTAACTGAGTGGTATATGTAGTAAGATGACTTAGCGACTGAACAACAAAATGTAGTAAGATTTCCCCCTTAAAAAATAAAAATATAAGTATTTATAACTTGTATAAATATGTTCAGGTAGACATGAAAAAGAAAAGGACTGAAATTCTTAACCATGGTTGTATTTGGGAACCTGGATTTTGGAAAACATTTCCTTTCTGCATCCTCATATTTCATTCATTTCTTTTCTTACTTGGCTTTACAAAAAAAACCCCATAAGTGTGTATTGTTCTTGTAAGTTTAAAAAATGGGATAGAGAGCTGGGGAGAGAGGGAGGGGAAGAAAGGGAAGGAGGAAGGGTTAGGGGGAATGAGAGGGAAAGAGAGAGAGAGAGAGAGAGAGAAGCTGTTTGTTTCACGCATTTTGCCATCCCCCGTGTTTGGAGCTGCCCTGCTGGGCTTAGTGGAAGGTCAGACCATTCGGTCAAGGGTTCAAGGGCATCAGCCCTTCCCCTCTCCCTCTTTATTCTCCAGAAGGAGAGGCACTTTGGCATCATGTGTTTTTGTAAGGATTAAATGAGATAAAAGTTGGGAGAAAGCTTTATCAACTAGAAAGCTCTTTCAAATACAAGAGATTATTATCATCATCAGAGTCCACTTCGACCTCCCGCAGTCCCTTTTTTCCCATAAGAGCCTTTCGCCCCTCCACCCCCACGTCTCTCCCCGGGAGTGAGTCGGGCCTGCCTCCTGCCTCACCATTTCACCCCGGCCTCGGCCCAGCCGCTTCCCAGCAGAGCTTGGCTGTTCCTTGAACTTTGAGTGCTGGTTCGATTTCCTCCAGTGGTACCACATGCTGCTGTGCAAACAGAGCACGTGGTCCGGCCAAACAAAGGACCATGTGTGTGTGAAAACCACCCCCTATCACGGGAGCGCGGGCTCCGCCAGGAGAGGGCCCGGCCCGCGCGCGCGCTGTCATTTTTCACTGCAGTTGAAACACCCCGTAAGCTCTCAGGAAGCAGCGGGGGTGGGGGGAGCGGCCGAGAGCAGGGGCTTGTGTCTCTGGCTCTTTCCATCACCGCCCTGGAAATAGCAGCGATCGTGCACGGCCCGACCGCAGCTTCCCCCAAGCTGCTAAGATTTCATTTCACCTCCAGCAGGCTGCTTGGGGACTCGCTGGGAAAAGATCACTCTCCCGGGATGCTGTCAGGGGGAGGGGGCCCGGGACTGTATACAGCTGTCAAAACGTCTCAGACGGGAGGCTCCGGCACATCTGCTCGAGCCTGTCTCCGGCTGTGGGGCACGCGGGGAGCGCCTCAAACCTATCTCTGTACTGGCGAGCGGTAATTGCATTAGGATTAGTTATCTCCTGCGCTCTGCTCATTAGCCCTGAGGATGGCTCGCATCCAGCGAGAGGGTGGCGCAGGGCGAGGGAGAAGACGTGCGCCTAACAGGTCGTGATAATAAAAGACTTGCTCTCCTAGAGCTTGCTTCCCTTCGCCTCCCCCGACAACCCCCCCCTCCCCGCCCCGGGCGCGTCCTCCAACGTCTTCCTCTAAACCTCATTTCCTGACTTTTTTTCCTGAAGGTCTTATGAAATGCGCAATTTAGGAAGATTACAAAGAAAAAAAAAAATCTAGACTGGAATGGAGGTGGGGGAGGGATGCTGCGGAGAGCACAGTGGGGTGGGGGGCGGGGGTGCTGAGCTGATGGCCTGAGTCAGAGGATGCGAAGAAAGCGGTTGGTTGGCATGTTCTGACGCCAAGGCCAATGGCCCGAGAGCACCTAGGTGCTTTTTCTGGCGGGGCTGGCTCCTGATAAGTTTCAGTTTCCTTCCCTGAGTGATGTCTAAGATGAGGGAGAAAGGGAGAGGTAGCGATTTCCAGGGGATTCGGGTCCCGAGGAGCCCCACCTTGGATTGTGTGAACCCTGGAGCGCGCACCCACCAGGCTGAGCTGGGTGGGTCCCTACTCTGCCCGCCCCCAGCGCTCTGACCCGCTTGATCCCAGAAGCAGGATAGAGAGGCTGTTTGTTTCTTGTTTGCTCCAGGAATGGGGACCGAGTCAGTTCATTTTTCACTGCACCTAGCACATTGTTTGGTATACAGAGGTGTTCAAAAGTGTGTGATGGTTAACAATTAGAAAAAAAAAAAAATCAGGGGATTCACCCTTGAGGGTCCCATGATCCCAACCTCGATTTTCAAGGCAGGCGGACTTACTAAGTCGTGTGACTACAACAGGTAATCTAACTTTTCCAAATGTGATTTCTCATTGGCAAAACGGGGTTAATAATTTACCCATAGACTTATTCACACGAGTAAGTCACGTCCAATAGAGTGCAACACGTAGTAGGTGCTCAATTGATATTATTAGTTCCTCTCCATATCTTGCTTTATTCATTCCTAAGATGGGAAGTTTTTTAAAAAAAACCTCTTTGACGTCTCAGGAGGAGGTAATTAATGTTCTCTTAACCCATCCGAAAGGGCCAATAGAGTACAGAGTTGTTTTATAATTAAGAAATGTATCAAACCCTGTGCAGGACTAATTGCTGTGCAAATTTGATTGAGGTCTGTGAGGACAAGATTGCCTTTAATGGGTTTCAAGGAAGGGGACTACTTAATATTCTTCAGGGAAGTTCCAATACTCAAGTCTCACCGTTGGAGACTGCATCACCAACCATTAGGAGCCCTGCCCAATGGTTTAGAGTGAATACACCAGGGCTTTGCTTAAATAATTATTTTGAAACTGGAAGGTTTATTGAGAGTTCAGGGTTCAGATTTAGAAATGTCAGAAATAGAGTTTTATTTGTTTCCATTGCACATAATGAATTGCCCTTTAAATAATGAAGCCATGAAAATGCCATTGTACCACATACTCCAGTGGATTGCCAAATGTTGAATTAGGTCCCTCTGAGACTCAGTCTTCAAAGCTACATCCATCAGAGAATGGGGGCATTTACAGTTTCCACAGGAATCACTGATCCAAAGGGTGCTCGGTGGAGGCATACCCCTCAGCAAGTCTACAGTCTTCATTTTTCAACATCTACTGGGGGTTTAAGAGACTACTTGGCAATCCTTTTTATAGGCATCTGAAACAATACTTTGGAGAGGAGACTGTAGAGGAAAGCTGCTAGAATAGCCTGTGTGGGTTCCGTATAATGGTATACAGCAAAGATGTTCTGCCTTAGACAGCAAGACCATGTGTATATATTCAAGTTGGAGTCCACTGGGAATGAGGAGTGTGGTTAGCTTGTTTCCGTCTGGTCTGAAGCCACTCACTGTGCTTATTACAAGTGAATCCAAAGGACTGGCATGGTTTACCCTTGGGGTCAAATCTTCCTCCACCATCCATAGAGCCCCAGGGTACCAAAGTCTTTTTTCTTCTTCTTACACCTCCTTCTCTCTTTGTGTCTCTTCTCCATCTTCCCTAGGTAAGCCATTTCTCTCTTCATTGCTCGGGCTAATTCACCCATGTCTCTTATTTATTTATTTAGTAACAGGTTTTCTTTTTTTTTTTTAGTTCTACTAGTTTATTTCTACCAACCCATCTCCCTCCACCCTCATGCACACACGCTCAGTCATGTAACCCCATGGACTGCAGTCCGCCAGGCTCCTCTGCCCATGGACTTTTCCAAGCAAGAATACTGGAGTGGGTTGCCATTTCCTTCTCCATAGTAACAGGTTTTAAAAAATTATTTATTTGGCTGCACCACGTCTTAGTTGCAGCATGTAGGATCTTTAGCTGTGGCATGTGAGATCTTAGTTCCCTGACCAGGGATCAAACCCAGGCTGTTTGCATAGGGAGCATGGAGTCTTAGCCACTGGACCACCAGAGAAGTCCCCAACCATGTGTCTCCTTGACTGCACCACTGTCTGCTTCTATCTGGAATTTTGTCCCTTAGTTATCATTTTTTTCTTAAGTGTATTATATATGTGTGTGTGTGTGTGTGTGTCTGTGTGTATTCCCACTGGAAATTTTTCCTGGTTTACTTATACTCTCACCTGTAGTCCGCTCTTTCTGATATTGTCAATACATCTTCACTTGAGTTGCTCTTTTTCTAGTATATTTTCTAGTCTCTTTCCTTCTAATGTCCTTCTTATTCTTCTACATCTTCTGTCTCCATTGTGACATTTTTCAATGACCCTTGAATCTCCTGAAGCCTGACTTTTGCCTCCTTTAGTCTCCTGATTGCCAGTGTCAGTGGTCCATTATGACTCCACCCTCGCTTGTTTATCAATCTCTCAAGATCCCCTGGGCATATGTCACAGGGCACTGTTTTCCAAATTTTTCTGAGTTTTCCAGACTTCCCTTCCTCTTCTCTCTCCCCAAATAAATGCATGCCTCCAGAGCTAGAGCTGACATTAGTGGAGCACTTATTATGCATTTTTAATCCTCCCATCAACCCCATGAAACAGGTACATTAATTGTTTAATTTTTATAGGAAGAACTGAGGCTGAGAGAGCTGGTAGATGTCAAATCCTGGTCTGCTCTGTCTGACTGAAGTCTAAGCACTTAATCAGGTGGCTCTGATGCCTATAGTTTGGTTTTCTGATTCCAGTCCCCCCTTGGTCTACCATTGACACACAGATCTCATCTCATCTGCCTGTCCCATCAGATCTCAAACCCTAAATATAATGTCTTGATGAGCTGACCATTCCCCGCTCCTTCCAGCTCTTTCCTGACTTCTCTAACAGAAAAGACTTTTTCCCAGGACCAAACCTTGACCCTGAGAACCCTCTTCTCTTTTCCTAGCTCATTTTGCTCAGCTCTTCATCCTATTAGACACCACTCTGAGCATATTTCTTTTTTGATGTCTCTTGAATACTTTTTTATTCTCTTCTTGTTACTGTCCCTTAATATAGATCTTGAAACAGTCCCTTGTTTGAACTAGCACAGTTTTCTAATATCCTCTTACCTGTTTTTCCTGCTATTGATCCTGCCTACCTTGCCCCGTTTATCAGGACCAGAACCATCTTATTAAAACATTTCTTGACATTCACATGGTTTTGCTCCAAGAACTTAAATAATTTCTCTGTGCTACAATAAAATGGATACTTGTAAACTTGTTACTCAAGGTTTTCTATGTTCCGGACCCCCAACTTTTCATTCTGTAGCACCTCAGTATGTCCAAATAACCACTTAGTTCTTTTTTTAATAGTTTATTTTTATTGGAATATAATTGCTTTACAATATTGTGTTAGTTTCTGCTGTACAACATTGTGAATCAGTCATGGGTTTGCACATAATCCTCTCCCCCTTGAGGCTCCCTCCCACCTCCAACCCCATCCCGTCCCTCTGGTTGTCACAGAGCATGGAGCTGAGCTCCCTGTCCTCTTAGCTCTGTTGTAATTAACTAGTTAATTAATTGATAGCCTTCCTTTTGCTTAAAAGGCCTGAAGACCCCTGTTGCAGTCTCAGTTCCATGGGCCTTGGCAGGGGGGTTAGGTGTAGTTTGCTCATACATGAGTTATGAACTTGAGCTTGGATTCAAAGTCCAGCTCTGCATTTGTGAGCTAGGAGAGCTTGAAGAAGTTCCCTGGTTTCTTTCCGTCTTCCTCTTCTTATCTGTATAATGGAGAGCTGTCCCAAAGTTTTCAGAAGGAGGTAAGTTCTTACATCTAGAGGGAGGTGAGAGGGGGGACCGGGATGGGGAATACATGTAAATCCATGGCTAATTCATTTCAATGTATGACAAAAACCACTGCAATGATGTAAAGTAATTAGCCTCCAACTAATAAAAATAAATGGAAAAAAAATAAAATAAAAAAAAAGTTCTTACATCTGTTGGTGACAAAGCAAAGACATTCAACAGATAATAGTTATCATTCATCCTTTTTATTTCCCCAACACGCTTGGTGCTTTCCTGATTCTGAGCCTTTGGTTGTGATCCCCCTTAGGAAATTGCCTTCCTTTGTGTTTTCGCTGATTGCAGTTCTCCTACTTCTTCAAAGTACACTCATCTCATTGCCTCAATGAAACTGTCCCCCAGTTCTTCTTGGAGAGATTTTTTTTTCCCCTCCAATTTTGACTCTTAAAACTGGTACCATGTAAATCAATCCTTAGTTACATAACTGTTTTGTGTATCATCCTCCACTTGCCCCAGGGCTTTCTCCCCACTGAGTCAACCACCCCAGGGCCACCCATGAGAGCATCAGGGGCCTGGGATGGAACAAGACGTGAATGGCTCAAGATACGGAGTGGCTACAACAATGGAGTTGAGGGGGCCGGAAATAAGTTTATTAAACAGGAAAAGTCAGAGAGGGTGTCAGACATCTCTTTTCTTCCTTCCTTTTTGCTTTTCTTGGACAAAATAAGTAGTGTGTTTAGCTGATATATTCAACAAGCACA